ATTGTGCATTTTGCTTATAAATACTGGAAATTTCTCAACATTCTAAAAAAAATTTAAGTGTGGACAAGAGAACTCTTGAAAATTTTTAATTTTTTCTGCAGCGTTCTTATTAAACATAAAAACAATTATTTATTGTCATTTCAGCCCACTTAAATAGTTTGTTTGAATTTCTAAGTACTTGAAATTAATTGAATCAGATAATATAGAAACTATAGAGACCTGCATGATAAATATCTATAGAACAATGGGAAACAATAGATTCTAAATGTGTTGCATGTGCCCATTATTATTACATTGTTATTCTATTCGACGAGCAAATTTTAATGTGCGCTCATTAAACAATTGGAAAAAATTCAATCATATTGCAAAAAACAACAACAGCTACAACAACAACAAACAAGCCCACGCAAAGTTCACAAAATGAATGCAAGCAAATAGAATGGCTGGCGCATGTAATCGCACATGAGCTCGGTCCGTGTAAAAAGCGCTCAAAATTGCAGTAGAGGAAAGCTCAAATGCATTGGAACAGAATGCATTCAAAAAGCTGCATCCACAGTGCAAATTCTGACGCCCCACACTCAAGCACACACACACACACACACTCACACATGCACACGCCCAAAGCAACACACATACATATATACATGGATGCATGCACAAAACGTCATGCTGAGCGCAGTCGACGACGACGACATTCAACTTGAACTTTTTGCGCATTCGGCGTCATTGCCGCTCTCTCACAATAACAAACGGCTGCACACAAAATAATCAAGATCAAGTTTCTTCCGGCATTTCTACACACTCGCACATAAATAAAAAGCAAGAGCTTTTGCTGCTGCTCTTACATTGAAGAGCACACTTGTATAGAGAGTTTAAGAGACACGCTTAGACGAAGAGCGCGTCAACAGAACTGCAACTTTTTGCATAAGCGTTTGCCAGTGGACTGTCCCACCTGTGTGTGAGAGGTGTGTTGTACTTGTATGTATATGAGTGTGACTGCGACGCGATAGTTGCCGCACACAACTGACCGGAACTAGTTCAATGTCTTCAACTATTACAATAACAATCGAAATGTAACAAAGCATTTTTTTGAATAATTATTATTTTTAAGAATTGTTAAATTACTTACAAATGAAACAAATTAAAATAACTGTGTACTTCATAATTGCAGTATCTGTCAAAAGCAGTCAGTCGAACTAGTTCATAAAGTGATATCTAATAATGAAAAGATAATCAAGATCATTTATTTTTTGCGAAAAATACAATTCAAAAATTTATTGAACTATGTATTCCAAAGAGTACAGCAAGGAAAATGTAAGTACATTTTTAAGTAAAATGTTACTATTGCTTTAATTCATTTATATTATATAAATTATAAGTTCATACTTATCCTAAAACAATTCAGCACATGAATTTAACTAGTTCCAATTCGCACTCTTTTAATCATTTTGGCCGAAAATTTGATATCAATTCTCTACAGTTAAAATGGGCATTTTTTGTAGCAACTCCCAGAAGTTAAGTACAAATGTCGAGCTTTGTCTTGTTAGAGAACTGAATTTGTTCCAAATCATTTTTAATACAAGAAAAATTAAACTATTTTGATTCTAGGTCTAGGTCAAAGCTGCCGTAGAGGAGAACACAACTGACTTAAGACCGCATTTCGTAACAGTTATCTGAAACCAAGCGAAATGAAGTGATCAAAACATGTTTCATTTGAAATATAACTAGTTCTAATAGCGGGAAAAGAACTAGTTCCAACGGCATGTAGTGCACACATGAAAAATTCCTGAGTATAGAGGTGTTGCTGGGACGTTCAATGGCCGCGACGCGACACTTTTTATGACAAATGCATTATCGCTCTACAGCTGCATGTAAATACAAGACTATTGGTGTGTGTGTGCGTGTGTGTGTATGTGTGTATATATATATATATATATGTGTGTGTGTGTGTGTTTGTCATTTTATGATGTCACTGTCAAAGCCCTAAATGCAAAAGTTCTAATGCATTACCAAAAAGTCGAAGCCAGCTTATGAGCTGACTCTAAAGTATGCAATTTTTCTTCAAGCTCTTCTTCTTCTTCTTAAATGAGCTCAATTCATTTTCACTGACGTTGGAAAGCGTCGAGGCGTCAGTGACAACAACAAACAGTTCGTGTATGTGAAATTCTTGGAAAATTCGAAAACGTATCAACAAGTTGGCTGCAGCAACAGCACGGCGTCATCGTTGCAAGCATTGAACTCGATTTTGTTTTCATTGCCGCCGCTGCTGAATTTCTAAAACGCAGCTAATTAGTCGAGAGTGTTTGTGCTGATGTTGTTGACTACAGAGCGACTGCCACTGCCACTGCCACTTCTACTGCTGCTGCTGCTGCTAGTGCTGGTGCTGCTGGCTCAGTAGCCATTTCTTCAGCTGTTCCACTTTTCTAGCAGTTTTCCACTTTTCCTCAACAACTTGGACGCCTGCTTTTTTTTGTAGTTGTAATTGTCGTTGCTGTTGTTGTTGCTGTTGCTGTTGTTGCAGATTTCACACGCGGCCAAGCAATTCATCATAAAAATTATTGTAAACTGCAGTCAATTGCACGGCAAACGCAACGCCACAAAGATTTTTGCTTAAACCAAATGAAAATAAGTTTTTCCTAGTTCACTGGCCCTCCCCCTCCTTCTCTGCCAATCTCACAAAGCCTCGCAAAGCTGTGCGCCGCGCCTTGTGTGTTTGTTTAAAATAAAATGAAAGTTTTTGCGCGCCAATGTTTTGACATACATAGAAGGCAGCCAGTCAGTCTGTCAGTCAGTCAGACAGTCAATCAGTCAATTGGTTAGTCAGCCAGTCAGGCAAACATTCAGTTACTTAGACTTACACACTCGTACATACATATGTACATATGTATGTATGTCTGTCGTTCCGCCTTGGACGCAGACTTTGTTTGCCTTTAAGGCGGCCGACTACTTGCAACGTCTTCGGTCGTTGCCGTTTTGTGATTTCATTTTCTAAAGTCGTCTGAATATCTGTCTATGGATTAGGCTAGTCCAAGCCATAAATGGGAAGACAGTAAACATCTGAAAAGAGTCTGTATATTTAAAAAAATAAAGGTGCTTAAGAAAAATATCAAAAATTTGGTTTTTAAAAGAATTAGCTATAAAAAATCATTATTTTCAGGCAACTACCCTAAATGTTTTAATCTGAAATTTCTTTATATCAGAACACTTTAGGTGTAGTTTGCTTTCGCTTTGAAAATAGGATTATTATTAGTTTTCTACAACTCAGTTCTTGTTTTTCGCTGAAGACATAATTAAAAATATATATAAGAGTTTATTATTTAAAACAGCATTATTATTAAAGAAATATAGAGAAATATAATATTAATATCAATATTTGGGGAATATAGTGAAAAGATTTATATTTTAAGTCCTATGATCAAATAATTATTAAAATGAAAATCTTAAGAATACATATATCTATTCATTTCATATATAATTTCTATAGTTTCTATAATTTCTACAGGCTTTTTTTATTTTTTTTACTTAATTTCAGTTTAAGTTCTCTATTGTATTTTTTTTTTTTTATATCGTCAGGTCTTGTCGATGAAATAGATAAATAAATAAATAATATTAAAATCATGCCATTTACCTTCACATTTTTTCTTCTATTTAAGCCACTTTTTACTGTACATATTGTAGAGGAAACAAAAAAAAGTGAGAAAAACGGCAGAGCCTTAACAATATCGCGCATACGCCGCATATGCCGGCGAGCTATTAAAAGTGAAATAGGCAAAATAAAATAGTCGCGCTTCAAATCTCCGAACTGTGCCAGTGTGTATAAATGCGTGTGCGTGTGCGTGTATTTGTGTGAGAGAGTGCGTGTGCATGGGAGAAATGGTAAAAATGTGGGGGGTAAAAAGTAAAAGAGCATGGCTCGACGCAGCGACGCCGGCGTTGAACGGTAGTAGCGACTGCGGACTGAGGCCGGCGGACAGCAGCAGCGTCGGCTGCGCTTCACTTTTTTCGGCAGTTCAACAAACTTTGAAAGACAGACGACGAGCTTAGAAAAACTCTTGGGTCAATAAACTATGAGAGCTGCTGATCATCGCGCAGCTGATTCTGATGGTAATGGCGATGATGATGATGATGTTCCCACTCTTGCGGCTTTTGTTTAAAGCCCTCAGATATATTTATACGAGTACATATATACATAAATAAATGAAGGCCTCAAGAGGTCAATGACAGCCACAGACGTAGTTGACATGATTCGGTAATATAATGGAATCTTAATTAAAGATGAATTAAATTTAGCCAAAGGGCTTTATAGATGATGATGTTTATGGGTTGTTTATATCACAAACCATACCAAAATTGCATTATCTAACACATTTGTGTATTTAAAAAAACACATTCATTTTAATTTAATAATTGTAGCATAGATCATAAAAAAAACACAATTAAAAAAAAGAATATTTTTTGTTTGTGTATAAACATCATTGTTCAATTTAAAACATAATCTAATTTGTTCATTTTTGACAAAAATTTACATTTACAAATTGTACGCACTAAAATTATTAATTATTATATTAAATAACAACTTTCAGCCAAGAAAAATAAAAGAAAGTGGAATGATATTTGAATTTGTGCATAGCTTCTTAAAATGAGTAACAAACAATTTATTAGCTCATAGAATCGTAAAAAACAGTCATTCCATACAATGTATTCATCAAACGTGCTTCAATCAAAATTTTCACTTTAATTTGCAAATATTTACAAGCACCAATCAAATTTCAACCGCAAGTAACCTAATTCTATAAATTAGCGCCATTTAGCGTGGACTATAAAATAAACTGCTTGCAGCGCTGAACTGCTTGAGACTGCGCCAGTAATGACGATCTGCCACATGATGGCGCCACAACAAACGCCATCTACATAGTTAATTCTATCAATTTTCATATCGAAAAACGATAACATGGTTTTTTCGATAAGAAGAACAAGAATAAGAATTATTTGTAGCAATTTACGCGCATCATTGTACAAATATAGTTAAAACAAAATATTATTATTATTAATATTATGATAAGCGCAAATGTGATATGATTTACAACATACGGCGAGCTCCACGACAAGCCACAAACATCCAAAAGGCTACGAGGCAGCGCAATCCACAACGTAAACAAACTTGCAACGCAATATTATTTACTTAATCGTATTGTTTATTAGCACTCCTTGGACAAGATGAGCTCTCCGACGGCTAAGAACGCCAGCGAAACCAACGGCAACAAACCCAAAAAGTCATCGGGCAAATCAAGCTCAAATGCAAAGAGTGGTACCATGGAGACACGTGAGGAACTGGCGGACCTAATCAAGAAGAAGGCCGAGACCTCGGTAACAGATCATAAAGCACTAATGCTGGTGTTTATTGTATTTTATACTATTATTCTACAGGAACAACTGGCCAACTTAGAGCGACAAATCTACGCTTTTGAGGGATCCTATCTGGAGGACACGCAGCTGTGCGGCAACATTATTCGAGGCTGGGAGCGCTACTTGACCTCCAATAAAGCGACGAACTCGAAGGCGGACAAACGCAATCGGAAGTTCAAGGAGGCAGAACGTTTGTTTTCGAAATCAAGTATTACCTCCATGGCCATTTGCAATCGTGAGTATTCTGAGGCACATGCCCCATTCGTGTCGTGTCTACCTATTTGTGATTATTGTGCCTACAGCTGAACGTGCCAGTGAATCTGATTCCATAACGAATGAAGATTCCAGCGATAATCAGATTTCTGTAAATCAAAACACTACGACCGCGCATGATGGGGCAACCACAATTAAAAGCGTGCCTAAGGATGAAAAGGGTAAGGCAATGGACACTTATTCACGTGGTGAGGAAATGTGGACAACCTAGCGGAATGTGGAGGCTTTTGATGATTGAAACTGTGTTGAAATTTCAATATTAATGTGATAATTAGATTAGCTTTTATTAAAATATTGTCAGTGGAACTGATAGCAATGTAAACATAGCATAGAAACACATTATTTGTAGTGTCCTTGTGTTCAATTTATTTAGTGACAATTTATAGAAAGTGCCACTTGTGAGCTCTGATCTGCAAGTAAGCCTTCATTACTTCTTTACACAATTCTTTAAATCTTTTTGTTTAACAATTCTTCACAATAATTTTATAAAATAATTACAAAAGATGGTCTGACGTAATTTTAAGGTATTATATATACAAATATACTAACTCTTTAATAATAACTCATACCTTTATAGACTCACCCTCACATCGCAATGAAGGTGGCGGCAGCAGCAGCCTCAAGGAATCCCTTGGAACACCAACCTCGAACACAAAAAGCAAACTGCCCTCCAGTTCAAGTGCGACAGCTAAAAAAGGTGGACATATCAACAAAAAGATACGCCATCGCTGATTTAGGCTTTAGAGCTCTCACCAGAAAGCGCTCTCTACAATTTATCTCAATCAGGCTTTAACACTTCTCCAATTAAATTTTGTAAAATTTACAGTAAACAGCTACATATACGGAATTTTCAAGTAATAATCTACATAGTTTTAAGCACAAATTCATTTAATTACAATCAATAAATCGCTGTATGTAGTTTTAGGCCTAAAATCATTTTACAAATAATTGCGTCAATAAAGTCACAATTTTGCTTATCGCACACATTTAATAAACTTATCTAACTAGTTTTGTCTACTTGTAGAACTTGTGGATCTATAAAAAACTCTTAAGATGTGTCGAGCACATATTTAAAATGTTTCCAATTTCTTCAGCGATTCATAAGAAATCGCTCTCTTTAAACGATCAAATTTAATTCATCTATTTGTTTTAGATTAAATACTGAAGTGTCTTGTTAAATTGCGAGTCATCTTCAGAGAAAATAAAAAAAACGTGTTTACTAACTAGCTTTTGCCTTTAAGAAGGTTAAGCGAATAGGAATTCTTTCAATAGGCAGCGCTTATAATTTCGTTACGGTCTTTTGCTTTATAGTTATTTTAAAAGTTTACAAAGTATGCAATAAATGTTTTCCGGCTTCATCCGATTTCTATAAAAATATATTCAACCAAGTTTCAAATATTCGTTGATATCGATTTAAGCCAATTCAAATAGAAATGTACTACAGGAAATACATTTAATTATATTTTAAGTTAGTTAAAAAAAAATTTAAATCAATAATTGGCATTTTTCTCTTGAAGAAAAATGGCCATGACTTATACCAATTTTAGTTTGCATGTGGAAGAGAATATCTACATCTGAGATAAATCTTTCAACAATCTCATTTTACCTGTAATTTTTCAAATGTTGAAAATATAAATAGTTTATTCAAAACAAATGTCAAAACGTTTTTAAAGAAAGAAATCGATTCCATTGCGGTATAATGTTGACAAATATCATGAAAAATGACGTGTGTTCTAGTGTTGCAAAAGAATGGAACCAGAACCAGCTCAGGATGATCCAAGTGGACTTTTGAGGTTTTCTGTCGCCGAAAGAAATTGCTCAAAAATTGTGTAAATTAACAATAATACATTGAAAAAAACGCCACCTGGCAGGACGACAATCATTATGGGTTCACCAACGAGGATTTTCCTGCTCTTGAGTCTCTCTTTTTGCATAAGTACACGTGGCGACGAGCACAACCACAAGGTAATAATAAAGCGGTGCTGGTGCTGATGTTGGCAACTGCATTTGTGTAAACATGACAAAGACAGCTGTCTATTCGGGCCCATCTATATCCGCATATTTTTTCCGTTGCAGTACAATGACAGGGAGGAGGTGGTGCTGTGGATGAACACCGTCGGCCCTTATCACAACCGGCAGGAGACGTATGCCTACTTCTCGCTGCCCTTCTGCAGTGGTTCCAAGTCAGATATATCCCACTATCATGAGACTTTAAGTGAAGCGCTGCAGGGCGTTGAGTTGGAGTTTAGCGGCTATGAAATGGATTTTAAGAGCGACGTTCCACGCACTGTCATTTGCATGGTCGAGCTGTCGGAGAAGAATGCCAAAGCGTTTACCTATGCGGTAAAGAACGAGTACTGGTATCAGATGTATATCGACGGCCTGCCCATTTGGGGCAAGGTTGGTGAGCGGGACGAGACTGATGGCAAGTACTACATATTTACGCACAAAAAGTTCGACATTGGCTATAATGGCCAACAAATTGTCGATATCAGCTTGACGAACGATGTGCGGGAGGAGTTGAAAACGGATGCCAAAATAAAGTTCTCCTATGAAGTGAACTGGAAGCCCAGCAAAGTGGAGTTTAAGAATCGGTTTGACAAGTACCTCGATCCCAACTTTTTCCAACACAGAGTGAGTCCCATATCTAGATCCATGAATGCAGCAATTCATTTGAAAATATTCTTCCAGATCCATTGGTTTAGCATTTTCAACAGCTTCATGATGGTCATATTCCTTGTGGGTCTGGTGTCTATGATTTTGATGCGCACGCTGCGCAAGGATTATGCACGTTACAGCAAGGATGAGGAAGTGGATGATATGGTAAAAGGCTATACATAGCTGCTTAAGTAAAAATTAACGTTTGGCCTTGACAGGAACGTGATTTGGGCGATGAGTATGGCTGGAAACAGGTGCATGGTGATGTGTTCCGCTCGCCTCCTAGTGCGCTTATTTTCTCGGCACTCATCGGCGCCGGCTATCAGCTGATCTCAGTGGTTTTCTGCGTCATCATGTTTGCCATTGTGGGAGAACTTTACACCGAGTGAGTAGGGTGTTGGAGTATTTTTTAAATTATGCTGCAATTTTACGCTCTGTTGTACAGGCGCGGATCATTACTCTCCACAGCCATATTTGTATATGCGGCGACGTCGCCCATAAACGGCTACTTTGGTGGATCGCTGTACGCACGTCTCGGCGGACGTATGTGGATACGTCAAATGCTCGTATCTGCCTTCACAGTGCCTGTGGCAGTCTGCGGGACAGCGTTCTTCATCAATTTTATTGCGATTGGCTACCATGCGTCACGTGCAATACCATTTGGAACCATGGTGGCTGTCACCTGCATTTGTCTGTTCGTTATCTTGCCCCTGACCCTGGTGGGAACTGTGGTGGGGCGCAATTTGGATGGTCAGCCGGACTTCCCATGCCGCGTTAACGCTGTTCCGAGGCCGATACCAGAGAAGAAATGGTACATGGAGCCGATAATCATTGTGCTGCTCGGTGGCGTACTGCCCTTTGGTTCAATATTCATTGAAATGTAAGTAAGACGGTTGTTAGTAATGACTGATTAGTTATGGATAATTCTCGCTCTAGGTACTTCATCTTCACTTCCTTCTGGGCGTATAAAATCTATTATGTTTATGGCTTTATGCTACTTGTGTTCACCATACTCACTATCGTAACTGTTTGTGTCACAATTGTGTGCACGTATTTTTTGCTGAATGCCGAGGATTATCGGTGGCAGTGGACGAGCTTCATGGCCGCAGGCTCTACGTCCATTTATGTCTACGCATATTCATTTTACTATTTCTTCTTTAAAACAAAGTAAGTGACCAGGAAGAAACCTCTAAGTTCTTATTAAAAAGTTGCTCCTTTTTTCAGAATGTTTGGCCTGTTCCAAACAGCATTTTATTTCGGCTACATGGCTCTGTTCAGTGGCGCTTTGGGCATCATCTGCGGAACGGTCGGCTATGTGGGCACAAATCTCTTTGTGCGCAAAATATATTCCAATGTGAAAATAGATTAAGCAGACGCGCCTGTATATCAATAACGACTTACAATTTATTTATTGTTTAGTGATTTAGTTACCAATGTGTGTGTTTTTTCTCCCACTCTCAACTTTTTCTCATATCGGTGTGAATAAAATGGATGCGCTTGTGCCCCCCAGTCAGTCTGACGCTGCACTTGCCCCATTCCAAACCACGCCCACTTTCCAATACCATTGAAAACTTAATCTGTATATGTACATATATATAAACATATATCGCATATGCACGCCTTCTCATGTGTGTGTGCACGAAGTACTGGATGCTTAGAAATTTGTCAAATTATGCAATTGAGAACATGTATGTATGACTTGCTTATGCCAATTAAGCTTATGTACGATGCAGCGGTGCAGTTATGACATGTATTTGCTGATTAGCAATAGTGGATAATATTAAAATAAAGTCAGGACATGAAACTATTTACATGTTTACAAATCAAACCCCATGTACAATGTGTTTTTCCCTAAACTATACAAACAGCCCCCTTGTTAATCGAATTGTGGTGCGCACTTATCTTGAAGGTGCTCGAAATAAACGAACATATTTTAATTTAAAATTTATTGTCGGCCATTCATAATTACTTAAACGTGCTTGTCACGTGTAAGTATTTTGCACCCATCATGAATTTACGCTCTACAACTAATATTAACTCATAAGCCGCAGACGCTGGCACCCCCATAAATTACTTATCGGCCGATTTTTGGCACTTCGCTGAGTAAGCATGTCAGAAGTTTTTATACACGGCCTACTTCATGAATTATAGTATCTACGGCAGAAGGTGTACAGTTATTGCAAGAACCAAAAGGAGGCGTGGTAATTCCGACGATTACATAAACATACTAATACTTGTATATACGTATATTTATTCTTCATTAGCATAACAAGATGTTAGAAAATGTTTTGAATGCTATGAAAGCATAAAATCTAGAGATCAAAACTTGATGTGCAGATTGCTCTACGGGAAAGAAAGAATTTACGACATCGTTCCCGATTCTCCCATAATTCCTCGAATTTTTATATCTTTAGAAATTGATATATTTATATTTTATGCGCCATGTGGTTAATAATCCTTTGATATTAAGCTGTCTTCTAGTCTTAATTCGTTTGCTATATAACCATATATGTATGTTATATACCAGCAGTTAGTTGGGTATGCACTTTCCTAGAGAGCTACGAGTAGGCAGTAATTTTATTCAATTTTTTTATGACTGATCAGCCAGATCTTTTATTCCTACTCCGAATATACCCCTCCTTTATTTTAAAACATTCTTCATAATTTGTACATATTTCCTCAAACACCTCATAAACCTCATTAGCACTGGCCACAAGTTCACAAATTTTACCCATTTTCGGGCCAAATTTTCAATAATATATAATTTGTAATGCTTTTTTTTGCGTCCTGCATATAATACATTGAAAAACTGAATATCATTTAACTATTTGAGCTTCGGACCAAGATCCTAAAATAATGATAAAAATACTTCGGGTGATTGGAACGAGGTAAACGTCTTTAGGCAATATTGTTTGATAGTAAATATCAAAATTTTGGAGTGGCCTGCAAGTAAAACCAGCAGTAGTTAACACTTATGTTAGAATCTTTATTGCAAAATAATGAATGTGAAAGCGTTTTTTTGTTGGTTTAAATTTAACATTGTTTTTGTAACCTTTAGTTACCATATTCTTTGGGGGATAGTTCCAACTGCGAGCTCCGCTGGTGAATTCATATCAGCTTATTTCGTACCATGAACAGTAAATACCGTATACAAGTAGATTAAAAGCTTAATGACAACCAAATTTGATAAAATTACTTGCAGCTCTTCCATGCCTTAAATAAAATATCACTCCCCAACCAAACAAAGAAAAAAAATTGAAGATATCTTGCTTGATTATTAATAGTTAGGTATTTATTTTATTCATTGAGCTTATCCTGGGCAAATGGCCCAATATTGGCAGCATAGGCCATAAGGGCAGGAATTGCGGTCTGCTCATAGTTGCCGGCGAAGAAATGCTCGAAGGGGCCCGAGGCAAAGACACCAACATCCTCACCGCCATGAGTCTCGGAACTAAGGGGCACGGTCGACTGGAATTGGAACTCAGGATCTGTGGTGTCAACACCTGTCAAATCGATGCGACCAGTTTCAGAGGAGAAGGTCTGCGCGTAGCCAGGACCATTTGCATATGAGAGAATGGTAAATGGCAGCTGATCATCGGCTAGATTAGGCGCCAGGGAGAGAATGTTTTGGCGACGGTACTGAAATTTCACAGAAGTTAGAATGGATACTTGCAGCAGTTTCGAGCCACTTACCGGGTAACCATTTATGGTCATGGTGTGCGAGTGATCCGATGTCACAACAATTAGAGTGTCCTTTTCATTGGTCATGCCACGAGCCAACTCGATCGCATTAGCAAACTCATCTGTCTCCTCGAGGGCCTTGCGTGCTTGAGCGCTATGGTGGGCCATATCGATACGTCCACTCTCTACGAACAAAAAGTAGCCCTGGTCGTTGCGACTCAACACTTTGATAGCAGCCGCGGTCATTTCGGAAAGAGAGGGATCGGCATAGTCTAAGTTTTTGCGATGACGATCGCCGTGATAGGGACAATGGGAGGGATCGAAAAGACCGAGCAGGTAGTCTGTCTTGCTTAAGTCCAGATCGTTTAGACCTTTGCGAGACCATACATAATGGGCGTTCTTATCAGCCTTGTCGTTAACCCAGTCCGCAATCAAGTCCCGGCCATCCTCACGCTCGCCCAATATTCCTTCTTCGTCATGGCTTTCCCGACCACGGAAATAGGCACGTCCGCCACCCAGCACCACACGCAGGTCCTTGCCCACAGGGGACTCAACCAGCTGGCGTGCTATGTCCAGGTTTTCATCGGCACTGCATCCATCCTTGGTAATCGGGGCATCGTACTCCCAATCACGATCTGCGGTGTGCGCATAAACGCCAGCTGGTGAGGCGTGGGTAACACGAGCCGTGGACACCAGACCCGCCCATTTACCCGCATCCTGCGCCCACTTAGCAATGCTTTCAGTGTGCGTGCTCTTGTCGATTGCGGCGAAACAGTTACGACGCTGTACTTTGGCGTTCACACCGATCGTTCCGTAATTACCCTTCACACCCGTTAAATAAGCGGTCGCCGTACTTGCCGAGTCCGGAGTACGCTCGTCGACGGCATAGGTCTTGGATAGCCCCGTGTAGGGGAACTTTTCGAAGAAGACTTGCTTGTTACTGTCACCCATGAAGGCACGGGTGGCAGCAATCGTGTGCACGGACATGCCATCGCCCAGAAACAAAATAATGTTCTTGGCAGTGTTCTCATTCAGCTGCTTATGAATGGTCAATTTTTCGGAAAGTATGGATTGCGCCTTATCGTGCCAGAACTCAGTTTGCAGTTCATCATCCGTGGCGGAGTAATCGAATAGTGTGCGCAGATGTGGATGTTGCGCTAAACACATTTCAATTTATATTTTATGGTGCTGGCTCGTGCTTGGGTTATTCCCCATTTACTTACCACTATCCTCCCTCTCCGATGGGGCTGTTCTTGGGCGGATAGCTGTAGCCGATGAAACGGCTAACGCCAGAAAGCAAAACGTTACGCAAACCTTCATTATGGAACAGTTGAAGATTGTTCTCCAAAATTCACAACTGCTCGACTCAACAACTGCCGCAAGACTGGGGACTCGATCGGGCAATACTTTCTTATATAGCCTGCACGATTTCAGGTAAACTCGCGAATAATTCAAATGATTTACACCACTATCTCACTTGTCGATGCATGGAAAGGCTCTTCAATTAGAACTATCTCAAGTGTTTCGGACAAATAAAATAAATCATTTGGAGCTGAAAAGCCATGGGCAGAACCGATAGAAGTGTGGCTATATCTCGACAGTGTGTATAAAGAGTCGTAAATCTCTCAGTGCCAAACAATCGCCCCACAACTGCAGTCTCGGCCGTTATATAGCCGCCGTATCGCTCAGCGAGTCACAGTGTCTGCTTGGCCAGTGAAGTGAGCGAAGTTAAGAATGTGGAGCTTTAAACTACTGACAAGTCCAGCACTACTGCTGCTGGCCGTGGCGCTTGCCCAGAGCGCGGTGGTGCCAGCGAGGATTCCAATGGAAGACACCATGCATCCCGACTTGTCTGCGCCCGCAACGAAGTCCGCCTTTAGGTCGGGCCAGGTGGAGGGCGAGGATACGCAGGAATATTGGCTGTCGCTGAGCAAGCAGCACATTCGGGAAAAACTTAATTTCGTGCGCAACACTAAAAAGGCAAAGAACATTATTTTATTCCTGGGCGATGGCATGGGTCTGGCAACGCTGGCCGCCGCACGCAGCTACATTGGCGGAGAGTCCGAAAAGCTGTCCTTCGAGCAGTTCCCCTACACGGGCCTATCGAAAACATACTCTGTGGACAAGATTGTGCCCGACTCTGCCTGCACTTCAACATCCTATTTGTGCGGCGTCAAGGCCAACTATGGAACTATTGGTGTGAATGCGAATGTGAAACGAGGTGACTGTGCAGCAATGGCCGAAGAAAATAATCATGTCTTCTCGCTGGGAAAGTGGGCCATGGATGCTGGCAAAGCTGCCGGCCTAGTAACTACAACTCGCGTGACACATGCCTCGCCCTCCGGCGTTTATGCGCACACTGCTGATCGCGAATGGGAGAACGATGCTTTAATAAAGGAAGCATGTGGCGCGGACACTACTCTTCCGGATATTGCGTTGCAGCTAATTTATGGCGAGGTTGGCAGCAAGCTGAGAGTCATGCTGGGCGGCGGCAAGCGTAACTTCTATGATCCCGCCTCCTATGAGAAGGGCAGACGTACAGATGGACGCAATTTGGTCGAGGAATTCCAACAACTTGACCCGAACAATGTGTTTGTGAAGAACCAGAAGAAGCTATTGAAGGTGAATGCCACAGAAACGGGACGTCTGTTGGGGCTATTCAGTGGCAGCCATATGGACTATCACTTGGAGGCGCTCGACAATCCGGACAATAATGAGCCAACGCTGGAGGAGATGACGCAGAAGGCGCTGGAAATTTTGCAAACCGAGCAGAATGGCTACTTTTTGTTCGTTGAGGGCGGAAAAATTGATATCAGTCACCACGACACCATGGCCCGCATCGCACTGGACGAAACGGCGGAGTTGTCCAAAGCTGTGGCACTAGCCCGCAAAATGACCAGCGAAGAGGATACCCTAATTGTGGTTACGTCCGATCACTCGCACACATTCAGCTTGGCCGGCTATCAAAAGCGTGGCAGCGACATATTCGGCGCGGCAGAGTCGAACGCCGCCGACGGCTTACCTTACATTGGACTCAGCTATGCCAATGGCATGAGCTACGAAAAATTCTACGATACAGTAGAGCACAAGCGCGTGGATCCCACATCGCAGCTGACGGGTGACTTTTGGGAACCGTTCCCTGCCATGGCACCATTGGTATCCGAAACACATGGCGGCGAGGACGTCGGGGTCTTTGCTTCTGGACCGTGGTCACATCTTTTCACTGGAGTGTATGAACAAAATGCTATTCCACATATGATGGCTTATGCCGCATGCGTCGGCAGTGGCCTGAAAGCATGTGACTGATGTCTCAAACGATTGCTATTATTTTCAAATCTTTGGAGCTAATAGCAAACGATTTGATTGCATGTACAGTAGGCGTTATCAATAAAACTATAGTTCGACAATGGATGACAGTTTCAATGTCCGATAGCAGGGAAGGCGTAAACTCAAGTGGCTTACAGATTATCAGTACGTTTTATTGTGTATATACATATATCTAAGAATAGTTATAGGACAATTGTAGCGGAATTGTATGGCTAAAGGAAGACAGTTTTTAGAGAATCACGGCATATCGGCTGCCACCGTTACGCGACTGCACTAGCGAGGCGTATTTTTCGCGTAGCTCAGCCAGAGCACGTTGGAAGTCCTCCATGTTGCTCTCTAGTTGGTTAGATGGGTATCGCTGCTCGGCTTGACCTTCGCCATTAACGCCGAGGCTGGAAGGAAAACCGGAGGGGGGTTCCCCCAGCAGCACAACACGACGCCAATCGTTCAAATCGGAAGTGCCTCGTAGCCCAGTATTAGGATCAATGCTTGAGGCAAACAAGGTCTCGTCCAGGCCCTCTGGTGGTAGTGTAGTTTGACTAGCACTATCCGTCGGCGTGGGAGCCGTGGGTGTTTGGGAGCTGGGCGACAAAGTAGTCGGTGGCGTTATCGATGCGGGCGCCTTGACGGTGGTCGGTGCCGGACCTAACTCATTAAAGAATTCATTTCCCAGTTCTTTTGGTAGTTCAAGTGGCTGCAGTGTGCCATCGGGATTGATGCGGAATAGCTTTGCATGAGAAGAACCAGGACTACCATCTCCACTGGCCGGCAGCATAACAATATTACCCGCCGCTATTTGGGGAGCCAAACCAGCTGAACTGGGACCCGCTTGAGGTGCTATTAGCGGCGGTACTGGAGGAGGGCCCCAAGGAACTAAGCCTGACCCACCCATAGGACCTGGCCCAGGTCCTGGCCCTGGTCCTGGTCCAACCCCATTTATTCCTGTGCGGAATGGACTGAAGGGGCAAGGGAAACAGAATCCTGGTGGACCCGGAGGTCCAGGTAAGCCACGCGGTCCAGGTACTGGTCGAAAGTTGTAGGCTGGTGAACCATACCAACCAGCTCCTGGAGCACCTGGGGGGCCTGGTATGCCCGGTAATCCGCGTGGTCCATCCCTGCCGGGGAAACCGATAAGACCCGGGAATCCACGAGAGCCAGGTGGACCGCGAGGTCCTTCTGGGCCTGGCTCACAGGAACATTTTACGAGCGATGCTTCGACTGTCACAAGTAAGCACAATCCCCCTGTACACGGGATACGGTATTTAGCACCATCGGAAGAAAAAATGTTCTCACTATCCTCACTCACCAAATAGTAGCACAGCCCACAAACGGAGCAGTTGCATTATGTTTCTTTTCCAGTGACAGTTTTCGTTCGCGCTAGCCAGCAACTTAGTAAGACTGATTCGATGCAGAATCAGGGCATTGGTATTTATACCAGCGGCTGGGAAATTCTTAAGAAACTAGTTAAAACTGTTTTAACGCATTTCCCAATTCCATTTTATGTGCATTCCAAAATATGAACATTTAAATAAGATACCAAATCAACAACAAACTGCAGCTGCAGCGATGCCGTAAAGATCCGCTTATGCGGGCTATAACTGTTCTTGGTGACATAATATTTGAATAGGAAAATCGTTAACTCGGAAGGGATAAGCAACCCAGGTGTGTGTGTGTGTGTGTGTGTGTGTGTGTGTGTGTGTGTGTGTGTGTGTGTGTGTGTGTGTGTGTGTGTGTGTGTGGGATAGGGGAAATCGGGCAAGCCAAAGCTTTGAAGCTTCGTCTCTGCTGACATTAATGGGTATTTATGTTTCGATTACTGGCGAATGCACGGGTCATTAAAAGGGAACTAAATGTGGGTCGCTCAGTCGTCGTCAATGCAATGAAATGTCAATCAGAACATAAAATCTGCTTAAAATTGGATGTTTATTAACACATTGGCTGCGAGACAAATATGAGACTGCAAGCAAGCATTGTCATAGTACAAGTATGTTGCAGGTATTGTGTTTTCTTTATTGGCCATTGATTGTGATTGGGTCAGTGTGCCTGCCTGCCCGACTGGTTTTCAACACTTTCACAACCGATCATGTGGGCTCTGGAGTTAGAAAGGAGAGCATCGACAGAACACTGACAAAGGGCGCCGTTATTGATGTTGATAAAACATAAAGTAAATTCGATTTAAGTCGTTTGCATAAATTAAAAAGTATAATTCAATTCCGAATTCTACACCAAACCAGCCATGTCTTATCAATTTCTGAAAGACGGTCCGGTCCGGTCCTAAAACACGCGTCATTAGCAGCCACTCCACATAAGTGACACTTTTGAGAGCGTGCACTTCCACAACTGATAGATTACAGCCAAAGCCATAAAAAAAAAGTGGAATTCAGATGTTTCTTTCAATAGAACACCTTCTACATAATATTAAGTGAATGTAAATAGGTCTAGGAAAGCACTTTAGTTTAATACTTGTGCTTCTTATACAAGTATTGAAGAGTAATATACTTGAGCCACGTCTTAATCCAAATCGTATCGCAAATCGCTACGACGTAGTTCTCTTTAAAGGTAATTCTCACGCACATAATTAATTGATTAAAAGTTAATTTTAGAAGCCCGTCAATACTTATCTAAAGTGATAGGAGGCGAGCTACTCTATTGAGAAATTAGTCAATAAACCATATTCTATCCACACCGTATATTAATAAATTAAAATGGGCTAAAATTTCACTTTGCCTTCCTACCTCTTCTAAACAACTAGAAGTATTCTATTTGGGATGATTTGAAATGTATTAATTAGTTGGGATGAAATCCCGGCGGTACTGCAATACCGGGCCAACCCGTGACAGAGGTGGAGCAAGCTCCTAGCACTCCGTCTAATTCCAAAAATCAGTTTAACATTTGTTGTCCTCCGATGGAGGATCTATCAGATGTTAAGCTGATAAGAACAGATACTACACTTTGATCTTAGCCATAAGGCCGAGAAGCGATAACCAGAACTGCCAATATAAGTAAAGGACGACCACTATGCCGTGAGAACAAGTTGGGAATTCCAAGGACAATAATTTTGAAATTTGGAAAGCGAGTCCTTTTTCATTTTTTATAGTCTACTTAGGGGCGGCTAATTTTTTTTATCTTTTACTTATAATTCACAACTGGTTACTACAGTTGTCAATAGGGGGTTGGAGTGATGTGAAATGTTCAGGTACTCTGGCTTCTCTTCAGTTGTCGAATAAATCTTTCGCCTTTTACTAAAGATTTCCGTGGAGAGGGGCACTCTAATGAGTCTAAATTAATTTTTTGTCGTGTCTGGCACTCCGGTGCTGGACCAATTATTGATACATTTCATATTTTGGTAGTTCACGATATATAGCACAGTGTATAATATAAAATGTTGACCCGAAATGCTTGTTCATTGTGCCTAAAAAAGGGCAATTATCTATTATAATTCAACTTTTGAGAAAATATATTATTACTTCGAATGTAAGAGTTTGGTTGAATTTTCTTAAGATGTCTTTAGAACGGACTTATAGCTTTACTTTATCTTTCTAGGATAGTAGACACATGTCTAATTTTAAAGTTTGTCGAAGTTCGGAAGAGTTTTATGCTCATTTGATAACGACACGATACACGTGACGATCACGTTTTAATAATAAGAATTGAATGGAAACATGTTCATGATATTTAAAATCTGTTCACAAATCAATTGTCAGGATTTGTTTAGAACGGAGCCATACGTTTTAAGCTTTAAAATGTTTTAAATGAAATAGAGAAAGGCCTACAATCTTTAACTAGGGGACTTATTGCTTTACTTTATCTTTCTAGGTATAGTAGACACATGTCTAATTTACAAGTTTGCCGAAGTTCAGAACAGTTTTATGATCATTGCTCATTTGATAAGGACAAAATACACGAGACGATCACGTTTTGATAATACGAACCTTCATTATGAATGGGAACAGGTTAATCGGTTCACAAATCAATTGTCGGGAATTTTTAGGCGAGATAACAAAATATATTTACACAAGTATGTACAAGTCAGAGGGAAATGTCATTTGTACTGAAGTTATTTTTATGAACGAAAAAAGCACGCGACCAATAAATTTTAACCGCAAGTCATCATTACTTTCATTATATCAACTAGTGTGGTTATAATAATTGTTCCTTAAAGGCTCTTGAAAAGCGAATAATTACGAGTACCATTTTCGATTTCCATACATAATAAAGAACAGTTTTTTGTGTTTGTATGTAGTTTAATAATTCGTAAAAAGATTTGATTTTTAAATACAAATACTATAACTATATGACTCAAAACTTGATCTATGTACACATTTTATTTTCTTTTAGAAATCAATGAAACAATTTAAAGGTATGATAATGAATAAATAAACTACATGATTGCAAAACTTGTAAAGAGTCTAACAATAAATGCAATTTGTTCAGTTTGCGAATTGGAAAAAAAAGTATACAAAATTATTAATGCCATGGGGGTCAGCGTGGTTTCTAAAAAAATTGGTGCGTACAACTAAATGAAGCTACTTAAAATTAGATACTAAATACTAAAATCAAACTAAAATTGGGCATTAACAGAGCAGATCGGAGCACGCAATGGCGCTGAGTAGTATGGACTACGAGACAGGCCAGTTGTCTGATTTCATAATGTACACTAACCTACGTAATATAAAGGATTAAGGACTTATAGGCTTTCCACCAGCTGTTGCTGCTGGCATGTATTGTTTTCCAATTTCACCTCCAGATTAGATGCATTGTCGGCCGACGCACTGACTACACTAACCAATGTACTTTTCTCGCTCTCAATCGGTTCAGCAGTAGCTTCATCTGCACTGGGATTGACGTCCAGATCGAGCGTTTTAGGCAGGGGTCCAATTTTCTGCAGTATGTCAACAGGCATGATTTCCTTCATAGCCGATATCGGTTTGACCGTAAAGTGGGACTGCAATGGTGGTAACGGCGGCAGTGGCGGTGGCACAGCTGCTCCATATGGAACACTAATGGGGGGTGGACCAAAATTACCGGACATGTTGAGCGATGGCGGGATCAAAGGAACAACAATATTAGTTGTTGGTGCTGCTGCAATAGCTGGGGCCGGCATGCGTGGATGAGGATGATAGCTCTGACCCACAACTGGTATGGGTTGTGGCATCGCTGCTGGTGGCATGCCGGTCACAAATCGCGGTGGCGGCAGATGCAGGAAGTTTGCAAAGAGCGGTGGTGCTCCCGCCTTGTTGTCCGGGCTACGCGGTGGTGGTGGCCGTGATGGCATCCTCACCAAATTATCCTTAAGTAAGGCAGCTCTGGCAGCATGAAGGGGCAGTGGCGGCCGATGACGATGTAGCGCATGAAAGTTAAATGGTGGCATGGGGAATCGACCCGATTTCATTAGCATGGCCATGTACTTTGGATCGAAGCGCGGGGGAGGTCGGAACATTCGACCCTGTGTTCGCACAATTGTGGAGCGGAACGGATCAAAGTGGAAGAAACGCATTTTGGGTTTTTTGCGCACACAGATCGCCTTCTCCAGATGTGGTGGGCACGGCATTGCTGGTGGAGGTGGGGGCGGCAACGCCAACAGCTCCTCACGTATCTTCATCGGCAGGGCGCGGCGCTCTCTCAACTTTTTAATTGCACTCTCCACAGCCTTTTGCACAATCGTACGATCCTCATTATCGCTTTCGTTGTTAGGCTGCACCTTGTCCACGAAATTGACGCGCTTTCGCTTTGGTTTGCTGTGGATGAGAATGATATTATAATATTACTTGTCTTTGATTTCAACTGTAGAAGAAAAGCTCACCTCTCCGTTTCATCCGGAGCCACAGTGGCGGCCGTGGCTGCGTCTGCTCGGTTCACTGTTTCATTCGACGGCTCAGCAACAACATTTAATTCAGCAGACGGCACAATTTCCAGCACATTGCCTTTTTGTACAGCCACTGAAACTTTGGGTAACTCACGCAGAACCGATGTAGGTAATGCGCCCGACTCCATCGTTGCAGGATCGGCATATTCTGGATAGAAAGCGGGTTCCATTGGCGTAATATTCGAGTATTCCATGTATTGCGCGTAGCCATCCTCACTATTCAACGACATGTTGTAGGTGTCCATATACGCTGCATAGGCGGCATAGCTCTCGTAGCTCTCATAGTTCTCGCCAGTCACATCCTCGGCAGCAGTGTTACCAGCTCCATGTAGTAACGACATGTTATAGTAATAGGCTGCAGCCGCTGATGCAGCAGCAGCATCCATGCTATTGCTTCCCTCAAAGTAGTCGGCATAAGGCGATCGGGATCGCGTTCGTGCGTGACGCCGAGGTGGGGAACGTGAACGCGATGAGGACCAACTGCGCCGCATTGGTGGTGATGGTGGTCGAAAGGGTAGCGGAGAACGTGAGTAGCGCTCGCGGCTGTAGGAACGTCGACGCATCGGTGGCGAGCGCGGACCCATTGTCTTGGGCATTGGCGCCATTGGTGACAAAGAACTTCGACGTCGCCCACCAGAAAATTTGATGCGGCGCCTACGAAACGGACTGCGACTCCGCGACCGACTCCGGCTGACGCTACGGCTGCGAGTGCGCCGTTTAATTAAACGCGAACGGTTGCCTAATCGCGGCGAGTGTCCTCGCCACCGTCTCGGACTTTGGGAGCGTGAGCTGGTCTTGTTGCGAATTTGTCGCTGGCGTGACTGGGAGCTGCGTCTTGTGCGGGCTCGTGAGTGAGAGCGAGAGAGTGAACGCTCCCGCGTCCGTCGATGCGTTGATTTTGGTGGGCTGGAGCGCTTTGACTTGGTGTCCATTATCGTTGGCTTAACAATTGCAATTTCCTTAGCGGGTTTCATTTGTTTTTCCCCAAAACTTCTCTCAGCTGATGTGGGCGGTCGCTGCGATTGCTGCTGCTTGATTGGTGCGGATTCGGAATCATCCTTGTCTAAGATGGCAGATTTTCGCGTTAACTTAAGCGGCGAGATGGTCAATTTAATGGCCTCCCGGTTTGCAGCAAAAATGTTGTTCGCCGGCGATAGCGGCAGTGATGGCAGCGGTGTTTGCTTTTGTTGCTGAAGATCTCGATCGAGCTTCGGCTTTTGTTCCGAAAGCTTTAGATCACGATTGCGATACTTGTCTACAATTGCGTTTTTCTGCGCGAGAAATAGTTTCTCCATCTGGAGCAGCTCGTTGCAAATATCATCGGCGCTATCGAAGGTCTCCCGCATCATTTGTATGCGAGCCAGATTGTCTTCAAGGCTTTTCAGTTTGCGCAAATCTTTGCTCACATTGTTCTTCTTAGGCGTGTTGTGGCGTGATGGGGGTGCTAGGGGGTTGGACGTCATCTCTTCTTCCTCTACAGTTTTCGTTGTGGTTTCTGTGTCTTTATGAACTTTTCCCTTCTTGTATATAGGCTGCTCATTTAAGCTCGTCTGCTCTTCGTCTGCACTGGAGTCTTCACTCTCGTCGTCCTCTTCATCATTATCATCGTCTTCGGAAGTACTGGTACCGCTACTACTCGTTGATTCTGTGGAAGATGACTCTTCTTCGGCAGTGGAATTGCTTAAGGAACTATTTTTGGATACCTCGCTGCTACTGTTGCCACTTGTATTGGGCGACTCCACACTCTTGACTGTCATGTGAGGTTTTTCCGTTGACTCTGAAGTAACTGGGACCTCCTCTTCTGTGCTGCTCATTTTAATACTATTCATAAATTTATCGTATAGCTCGTGTATACTAATGAGCTGCTTGGCGGGCACTTGTTCGCCTTGATCTGGGACAGGGACCGCTGTATGTGGCCGTGATTTTGGCGGTGGCGTGCTTTTCGCATTCCACAATCTATTCGAATAGCTAGCAACATCGTCGTCGTCGTCATCATTAACCTCATTTCTTTTAAATTTGTTCAGTCCATTCATCTGAGCCGTTGGTGCTGACAATTGGGGCGTGGAGCCGTCTGCTGTCTGCGAATCATCGTTCTCCCAGTTGTCGATATAGTCATCGGTGTCGGGACTTGGCTGAATCTTGGCAGGCGGCGTCGCACGCATATTTACGGTTGGAGGCTTTGTTTTCTTCGGCGAGGGCGTGTCCTCACGCTCTACCTTAATGTTCAGCACATTAAACTCTGGGGTAGGCTCCGTAATTCTTGGTGGCGTATTAAAGCGTTTCTTTTCTAGCTTTATCGCACGCTCCTTGTACTCATTACCTTGTCTATGGTCATGAGAATTGTTTTTGTGCTCTCGTGATCGACTACGCGCATATCTATCGTCAATATGCGAGTTATTTTTGCCCAAATGTTTGTTGTTATCCTGTGCGGCGGCTTTGTCTTCACGATGCGAGCTGCTTTTGTTGCTTGTGGAGTTTTTGTGGTGGGATGTTTTAGATGCTTGATGATGTCGCTCTAAGCTTGTGGATTGGCTATTTAATACTATTGCAGACACCATCTCCTTGTGTTCCCGTTGATACCTGGAGCTTTTATCTGCTATCCCGGGGGTTCTGTCTTGCCGGCTCTTAGGCGATTTTATGTCCATGGGCTCCAGTTTTATATGAATCATTTCACGGTCTGTGTTATCGTGTCCGACTTTTTTGGTCTGCTTTATCTGCATGGCTTCCTTTTCTCCGGCAATGGGCGTCATTTTCTTGCCACGATGTTCGTGTGTCTTGCGCAACCACTCTTGGGTGGCCAGCAAGGTCTCCAAGTCATCATTGTCCTGCAGCAGTGCATCTATACGACTATATATCTCAGAAGCCTTGATCAGAGGTGCGGTCTTCGTATCATTTTTGATTGCTGGGCCGTGATATAGTTCTGACAGTGGTGGTGTCGTGCTACGTTCTGACTTAGCCTTTGTTTCACTTGCCATCGCTGAATGCACTTTCGTCTTCTCCGAGACGTGCCCGATGCATTCCGATTTACTAATTTCTTCTTTTGCAAATTCGGATACGCTGGGCTCCTTTCTGACTTTGCTCTCCTTAGGTGTTAATGCTGGTTTTGTCAGTCTTGGTGGCGATTCAGCAAATATATCAAAGCCCTTTGCTAGCTCCAGAGGAGGCGTAAGCCGCAGTTCCCTGTTTGTGTACGGTGGCGTCAATGTTGAACTGGCTTGAGGTGGTGGAGGGGTCTGTGGAGTAGGTGTCTGTCGTGGAGGTGTCTGTGGTGGAGGTGTCTGTGATGGAGGTGCTTGTGGTGGAGGTGTCTGTGGTGGAGAGACCTTCGAGACCGGCGTAGATGCTTTTGAAATCGATGTTGACAGCATCGAAACCGGTGTAGAGACTCTCCCAACCGGCGTAGAGGCCTTTGAGATTGGTTGAGAGACTGATGGCGGCGGCGTCTTAACGCGACTCTCACTTCCGTTTTTGAGATTTTCGCTTTTACTCTTTGATTTCTTGCTGGATTTTTCACTCTCATGTGCACTGCGTTGACGACGCTCTTTAGAACGTTCCTCATGCGACTCTTTGGAACGGTTCCTATGCTGCTCTTTGGAACGGTGTTCATGCAGCTCTTTGGGGCGCTCCCCATGCGGCTCTTTGGAACGATCCACATGCGGCTCCTTGGAACGGTCCCTGAGCGTCTCCTTGGGCGACTCCTTCGATTTTGTGGCTTTTTTTGTGACCCTTGTTGAGTGTGTATGCTTTGACTTATGCATGCATTCTTTGTGGTGCTTATTAATGCATTCCGAGACGATGTTGAAGACATAAGATACAGGCGGATGCGCTGTCGTCCACCTGCGGGATAAAAAGGTTATAGAAAATAATGAGTAATAGCAATAAAATATCGTGCGCTCGGATAATAAGAATTTCTTTTATCTTGAGAATAAAAAATTTGGTTAGATAAATATATGTATTATAGAAAAATTGTATCCGAAAGAATTGAAATGCGTTTTAAAACTTACATCACATCCGATTGCTTGGGCTTATTGCGTCCACCACGGGCTGGCGTTGGCTTCCGCTTTGATCCGTTAGGTGGCAGAGCTGGTCCATAGGTGCAGGGAGACGATTGTGGGGCTCTATCAAGTGGGGACTGCGATGTCGATGCTGGTTGCGCCGGCCCTGTTTTTACTGGAGTCGAGGGTCTATTTGTTAGCATGACTGATGGTGGTCTACCAAAAAATGGAGGGCGATTCCCTCGCATTCCGCCTCGCGGCATCCGTGGCATGCGAGGAAAATTGAAGCAATTGTGTCGCATATGAAATCTCATTGGATTGATGGTGAGGTATGGAGGCGGAGGGACAGACGTCAAGGCCGCTGCTTGCTCGGCTTTCTTTTCCAAGCGCGCTTTTTGCACATCTTCCAAATTTTTTTGATCATCTGTGGACGAATCGGTATCGGAGTACAAGCCTTCGCTGTCCTCCTCTTTGTTACTTTTAGCAAGCATTGCTGCTTTATCTTCCTCTGATTGCTCTGCACACATATTCCCATTTTCCAAGGGCTGCGGTGTTGCACTTCCTATCTCACGCTCTCCTTCCGCCTTGTGCCCAGCAATAGTGTTTGATAGCGCATCAAAGCTGTTGTCATCGATTTCCAAGTGCTTGCGCAATGATTTGCTCTTAACGTCCTTGGAGAGGACTTTTTTCAGCAATGGACTCTGGAGGCGTCCCACGACTGGACTACTGTCCCTCAGATGCGGCGGCGTTATCACCTCGCCCGACTCCAAACTGTTTTCTCCATCTTGCAATTCATCGACTGCACTCGAGGTTAATTTTGTTGCAGCGTCGGCGGTGGCGACGGTGGCAGCGATGACGACGGCAACCTCAGCGTCACTCTGCTGAGACATCTTGGCCGTCAATTACAAAACACACACAAACATAAATCTCTAAAGCCAACTGCGTTCAGTTGCAAGTTTTGTTTTTACTTTAATTGGCGCCGCACCGCGTTGCTTTGCGATGCTCTGCCCTGGCCACTCTGCGAAAATATATAATAATCAATGCGGGTGCGGGCCATTTGCAGCACACATCCTCCGCCTCACTTCCTCTCGCCCAGAAGCATTATAGTTTTGTCCGTGTGTTGTGAATGAGTGTGAGTTGTTCTCAAAGTGGAACAAACGGAAGCTGTTGCAGCACGTGTGTGACAACACTTGAGGTCCTGGAGTTCGGCAGAGAACGTTTGGGTCGCGTGCATGCGGTTTTAATTTGCTTTTTTGTGAACACAGCATTTATCAATTTTTTACTTTTTCTCTACGATGAACATCTTAGAGTTGTTGATAACGTATCGATGTTTGCACATATCGATACTTTTCGCAGTCGCAGTCGCCTGCGCATCTCTAAGCAAACAACAGAACCGGGCTTGTACAACTTAAATTTATAATCCCAAATTGTTAAGATTCGGTCAATAAACATTAAGCGACTGAAAGAAACTCTTGTTTAAAACTTAAAATTAAACAAATGGTAAAGCGACAAATAAAGGAAAAAAAATAGACCATAGAAATCAAATATGCGGTATTTACATAAGTTAAATTTAATTATTAAATATAAATTCCTTTATATATGTAAGTGGAACTTTGGGGATAGCTTGAAAATATTTAATGCATTCATGTGGTCTGGAATAGGTATACTTTCGTTACTTCACATATTTTCTGATGCACGCTTATCTAAAGCACAGCAGATTAGTTTATTTGTACCACTTAACCACCCTAGTCTGAACAGAGTTGCAAGCTTGTCGCCGTTTTTCAGTACTAACATTGGCAGTGGCCTTGCCAGACTGTTGCTTTTATAGAGAGCACTTTTTTAACGGCTCGTGCACAACTAACCAAATTTGTCAAGCTTACCCGGCTATATTGACTGTTACAATTTAAGTAATTTACAGGAAAATTGATAAAAAAAAATAATGAATAATGAATCCTAATGCCTTAACAGTTGCCATAGCAAGTGCCACTTATTTCCGCTTCCTCTTGGCACTTCGTGCTGCCCATAAAGCAGCGCAGCCAGTCAAATGCGAAGTGCAAATAATGACAAATTACCGCTGGCCCTCTCTATCTAAACTTTGGGGTGCATAACTCAAGCGCAACGGCGTTGCCGGCAGCAGCGTTTGTGGCGTCGGCCGCAATGAGGAAAAGCCGCCAAGATTATGACACAGCCAGCCGCCACTCGCTGGTCATGAGCCGTGGAGCAGTCAAAAGGGCTAGTGGCGTTGCCAAGCGTGGCGGCAGCCGCTGCCGATGCCGTTGCCATCTCAGCCGAAAAGAGAGCGCACCAAATTGCAGAAAAAAGACGATTCGTCTTGGATGCTGTGAAGACGTTGTTGCACTTTCGTCAGTTAACGCCACACTTTTTTCCTTTCTTTGTACATTTGCATGCAACTTTCACCGGCACATGATCCCATTGCTATGTGCCTATGTGTGTATGTGTGTGATTGAGTGTATGCTGCGCCACTTGCTTGACATGCGCAACCGCCACCACCACCGCCGTCGCTGTCACCGTCGCCAGCACAGCACCTACAGAGGCGAAAGGTGCAAATTAATTTGTGGCGGCCCACAATAACCTTCCTTACTTTGTCGTTGTCATTATTTAAAGTGTAATTTTCTTTAGTTTTTCGTTGCTTTTCAGCTGTGGTTGTTGCTGTTGTTATTGTCTTCCATCTCGCGGCCCAAGCTCCCAATGAGACTTATCTCTTTTGGAAATCGTATTTGTTAAGTGGATGTGCAATAAAAGCAACCATTGTTTGGAGCTGCCGAAAGCCATAGCATCTGCAGAAGTTCCCCTTGCCTCTCAGAAATATAAAACTTATAAAAAACATACTCGTGCGGTGCACAGCATTGACGGACTTTGACTTTGGACGAGCGCGAGGCTCAACATTTGGCACCTGAGTGCGAACACCTTGGGGTTTGCTTTTCTTCACTCTTTTCAAAGGTTTGTAAACACCACCAAGTACGTGGAAGCCAAGAGTTCATCTCGTGGTCTGCTTATATATACTTCTATATAATATAATTGTGCATATACGAATTATATATACGAGTATCTTTAATTTATTAAAAACTTTTTTTGTAGGCATTGCTTAAAGTTTAAAAACAAATTACATTAAACGTTAAAACATAAAAAAAGAGTAATATTATATTATTATATTATATTATTATGCCAACATGTTTTATTTTAAAGGATTCAAATAAGCCCAATACTTGTTTAATAGATATTAAAAATACGGCAAAATGTTCCTTAGACGAATTTATTAAATCAAACAAATTTTGTTAAGAGAGCCGGCTTAATAAATATAATAAATGCTGGGTGCACGATAATCTAGTTGTAATTAATTACCTTAAACATGTTTGGAATATGAGATAACTGTATAACATTTTTATTTTTTTAATATTTTTTTAAATGGCCTATAATATTTTGTATTTATATTTTATATTTTATTGTTCTCGGTATCGTGTAAATAATTAATAACGAATGCACTTTCTAGAAGATATCCAAATATCATAACAACTTTCATAAGATGCTTCAAAGCAAATTAATAATAAAAATAATTATAAACATTCAAACTCTAGTCGAAAATATTTTGTTAATAAATGATCTCACTTCCCAGCATTACTTGTAAAACTCATTTTTAGCCATCAATTGGCGTACATTGTCTGCCAATGTTATTATATTATATTCGTACCTATATATATTTTTTTTCGATCTAAAATGCTGCCAATAATAGCTTTTAACAATGAACGCCATTAAAGCCAAATAACTTTAATCGACTTATTGCATTGTATTCATAGCTAAATATTTATGATGTGGCGAGCAATTAATACCGCAGAAGCGTTAAAAGCGCAACGCTCGATGGACATTGAGGGCGTCTATAGCCGCCTCGCTTCGTGGCTGTTACCGCCAAAGCCATTTTATGGTTGACAAATGGGCACAGCAAATGCCAGTACTGCCGGTTGCTCCATTAAGTCATTGACATTCGGTGCGAATGATGGAACAGCCAACATCAAATAGAATACATACATATGTATGTGTGTATGTACATTTGCCCCCGCACTTCACACTCCGCAGCTCCGGTTTTGTGTACATAACACTGAACTAGAAAACTTCTGAATGGCTACAGCAAGTGATAAGCATCCGCATTCAGACGGCGATAATTGCACAAATACAAGTAGCACTGTAGGAAAATAAATGCTAACAAACATGCACGAATCATGTGTATAGTATTTGTTTGTGGTTAGTCTTACTATACATACGAGTATATAGGGAGATATTTATTAGATACATAAAGGAAATGGTCAAAACTGTCCAAAAAAAAACGGAGTCGTCTCTAATTTGCAAACAAAACAGTCCTCCATTTATTTATTTATTTTTCTAATTAAACTGTTTACCATTTACGAGCGAAATGGGAATAGACATAAACAGATTTGATTGTTTTGGGCAAGTTAGCTTCCATCATGTTCCAGCGACCGAGACGAACCGGTCAAGTGTTAATCATTCGGTGCTTTGTGGTACGAATCGAACAGATTTTTTTCTAATTTATGGTAGTCTTTATGAATTACAAACGCACCACATAGTCTTAAGTGCAAATGAGTTGCTATTTAAGTAGATTCATCAGTATTTTCAAAAAATCCCCAATTATATACCAACGTGCTATTGTTATTAACATCATCGAGACAATTCCACAAATCCCTACAGAATAACTTTCTGTTAATTGAGGCATTTGTTTAGCTTTTTCGTAAAATTTTTCCAGAGTTCGATTTAGATTATATT